ACTTAATCATTCCAAACAAGAAAGTTCATTGGTTTTTATTGTACTTTTCCCTTTATTTTTAATTAAAATAAATTTTATTAGTAATTTTTTTAAAATTTTTTTATTTTAATTTAAAAAACTACTGATATAATATATTTTGATTTTAATTAAAATGAATTTTATCAAAAATCTTTTTTAAATATAAACATGTTTTTGTAATGTAAGTATTATTTTGTTATATTTGTTTAATTTTATAGATCTAAATACTTTTTGGTTCAAAAAATGTTTAGGGACTTAATCGTTCAAAATATGAATGTTTATTGAGGTTTTTTTCGGACTTTTTTCATTATTTTATCACATTAACCAGTTGTATAGATTATAAGGATGTATCTAACAAGTTTTAGAAATTCCAAAGAGTTATTTAACATGTTTTAAAATGTCCAAAAACTTATTTGTTCCAAAAAATTATCTAAAAACTTAATCATTTCAAACACTAAAATGCATTGGGTTTATTCGGCTTTTTCTTAAACAAACCTCTATTTTAATGCATCGTATAATACAATTTATTTTTAATCTATATATATATTAAAGGAAGAACCAAGAGTATTGAGGTGGCATCATGAGAATTGAGTATTGAGGTGTTGGTGAATTGTGGTTGAGTTTGAGATATCCCACATTGGTGAAGAATTGAAAATTTTGAACAATATGAAGTGTATAAGAAATGTGGATTGGATATCTTTGTGTCAAATATGGGGTTTGCCTCATAGGGTTATCTTTCTTTGGATGACCTTTTGAAATTTATAACCATGGTTGGAAACCAATCAAACCAAATGGTAGAAATTATAGTGCAAAATTTATTTTACTATAATCGTAGAAATTATAGTGCAAAATTTATTATACTATTATATCTTTATATATATATATATATATGTATATATTTATATTTTGTTTAACTTTTTGAATTATTTGAATCTATATATATATTAAAGGAAGAACCAAGAGTATTGAGGTGACATCATGAGAATTGAGGTGTTGGTGAATTGTGGTTGAGTTTGAGATATCTCACATTGGTGTAGAATTGAAAATTGTNTATATTTGATTATGTTTATCCATAGTTAGTTACACGAATTCAAACATGAAGCTTTAGTAAGATGTACTCATGCATATCCTACTTGTAATCTTGAATTTTAAGTAATATGCATCGATAAACAATACTTTATGCATAAAAAATTGTTTTTAAGAGTTTTAGCCAAATGCTTTATTATATAGTATAGATACTTACGTATAATTACTTGTAATCTTAAACTTTAAGTAATCTACATCAATAAACAGTACTTCATGCATAAAAAATAATTCTTATCAAATATTTTATAATATAATATAGATTAAGTAAATTTTGTATAACATTATCGTGATAATAAATTAACGGGAAAAGTCTAAAAAAATCTAATGGACTTTAGTGTTTGGAATGATTAAATTCTTGGACAATTTTTAGAACAAATAAGTCATTGGACATTCCAAAACCTATTAAATAACTCATTGGACTTTCTAAAACCCGTTAGATACATCATTATAACCTATAAAACTAATTAACATAGTAAAACAATGGAAAAACATGAAAAAAAAACAATGAACATTAATATTTTGAACGATAAAGTCCCTAAATATTTTTTGAACCAAAAAAATACTTATATTATATAAAATAAAACAAATATATCAAAAAAATACTTACATTTATGGATAAAGTTATAAAAAGTACATAAGAAATGAGAAAGAAAAACTTGGTTACCGGAACCGAAGGTTAGGCCAACTACTTTAGTATAGCTACACCTAAAAAAGTGTATTTTGATTGTCTGTCCTATGTGATCAAAGAAACTTCAGACTATTGATGAAATTTATTTTAATTAAAAAAATATATTATTTCAGTAATTTTTTAAATTAAAAAATAAAAAAGAATTACTGATTATATTTATTTTTGATTAAAAATAAAATATATTTCATATATGATTTTTTAAATTAAAAAAATA